TGATTTAAATGTTACTGGAATTTGTGTTTTGAAAATTGTAAATTAGAAATTGACATATACAAGAATACTGAGGAACAAAAAATAATGCCTCGTTTTCTTAATAATTATAGTTGGATGATTAAGATTTGGTCAATTTCTGAAGAAATGTTTATTCTACAGCAATTCAGATAGTGTCTGAGTTTAAAGAAAGCTTGATCAGAATTCTGGGACAAATCTGTGACAGCTGTGAAGGAGCAAATGAGTGATTGAAGACTGTTAGAAAGGAAATAAAATTTTCAAGCTTATTTTGAATTTAATCATTTCAAACTCGTTATTAATATCAACGAAATGTATAAGTAATGAGTCACTCATATTTATTCATTATTTTATGAATAAGAAAAAATGAAATCTTGGAAAAAAAGTATGAAAATATGAAAATGAAAATATGAAAGTGAAATGTTTACAACAATCATATGATTTCTCATATTAAATGTTCATCTCTCATTGCTATTTATCAAACTTCCATAAGTAGTGATTAAAATTATCATGCACTGATCTGTTAATATATAGATTCATTAAATCGAATTTGCTGATTTTAGCTAAATTATGACCTGCCGCTATATTCTTCTCATTGTATTCAAAATTTTTGAATGTGAAATTTTAGCAAAATTAGAAGAGTATGTGCTGTAATAATGCAAATAAATTGTTAGATAACACATATGCTGCACTTTTTTCATATTCTCGATGAAATTTTTTACAAAATGTCTTTTTTCTTTGTTAATTTTTGGATGTATTCGTTTATTCGTTCCATTTTTTTTCTTTTTTTTTTTGATAAAAATTTCTAAAAAAAAAAATTTCTACGCCAAAGGCGTGAAAATATTTAGTCTTTGCTTTAAAAAAAATTTTTCTCAACTGTACACTGCAATAGAGCAAATTAGTTGAAAAACGCTGTTAGTGTTCGAATTTTTTCCCAGTTTAATAGTATCAGTTATAAAAAATATATAAATTATTTAAATGCTAGATTTTATTATCGTTGTTAAAAAATTCAAGCTTATTTTGATTTTTAATTATTGCAGTTGCTTGATTAGTTTATCACGCAATCACAACAGGAATATATGAAAACTGGTTTTCATGTTAATGCTAAAATTTTTTAGGAAATGTCGCGTAAGATCAATTACATCCAATAAAAAATGTTTCATCTTTTGATTTTTTTTTGATTGCATATTTTCGTTTTATTTCAATATTTGATATTTACAAATTTTATTAACTACTCATAATTAGACATTACTTTTGAATTTTTCAATAATGCAATTAACCATAAAATTTTAATGAAAGAAATATATTTCTTTCATTTGACTTAATCTTATCTTTTATCGTATAATTGTCATTCAATTTTCAATTATTGTAAAATACGATTTCTACAGAATAACAAAAATTGTTTCTGTTAAACTAATGTTTTTTTCTATTATCATTTATTTTATTAAACTTGCATGATTCCATCATTATTCTTCTTTTTTCTCCTTTTTGTTTTCTTTTCAAAAAAACCATTTTGATTTATGTCGTAATCAGTTTTCATCGAAAACATTCAACAATTTTTGTTGGGCAGAAACGATGGATTTGGTATATGGAACGATTCCTATTGGAAAAATTTTCTTTTCATATTGATAATTACTCTCTATTTTAATGCATCTGAGGAATATTTTAAAAGCTGATAAGGTGATAATGTTTGGTAGTGGAAAATCCATTATTTTAATTAAATGATTTATTTTGGCAGTTTAAATTTGGATGATATCTATGTCAAATATTAAATTTACGACATGTTTGGTTGTGTTGCATCGCCTGGCTTTTAATAATTTTTTTATAATTTGGCTTTTTTTTCTCCAGCATCTTATTTGATTTTCTGCTTATTTGCTGGCGCATAGATAATAAATTAAAGTTTAATTTGAAATGTATATTCGAAAAATTGAACTTAGACTGAACTCAAAATATTCACTCATTTCAATCATCTTACTTACATACAGCTTTTTATGTGTTTGCATATTGGTACACTTCAGTACTAAAAAACTCTGTGCTACTGCTTTTTTTTTTAATTTTCAAAATTAATTAATTTGCATCGTAAAAAATTTTCAATAAATCACTATTTTTTAGTTTAACAATTTCCTTTAATTATATTTTGATGTTTCTAATCATCAAAACAAATAAATAGTGCAAGTTGATGATAAGGGGAAAATGGAAAGTGAAAAACATCGCCAATATATGCTAAAAAGTATTTCTAAACATTTAAATGTTATCAAAAATGAAAAATTTTAAAATGAAATCGAAACGAAAAACAAATTAAAAATAAAAAGTGGCAATAACAACAGCTCATCATCATTCCTACCAACTAAATATTAAATAATTTCTTTGGCTTCATCGATTTCACGATTGGTATTTAGAAGCTGATTGGAAGCAGTATGAAGCAGATTGTTCATTTTCCTTCCATTCTAGCGAATCTTTAGCATATTGGTGCGACATTTCTTTTATTTTCATTTAAACAAAAAAAAAAAAAACAAGTTGGAGGAATACATTTAGTAGCTTTATCAATTGAAAATTTTCATACTTTTTGTTGTCTGATTTTTGGAGTTACTCTCCTTTTGCGGAGATAAATTTTAAAAATGAGAAATATTGCTTGATTTTATTTATAGATTAATTTTAAAATTTATTCTGATTCATGCGCTTTTAACATAGTAAAATTTTAAGAAAATTTGATTGTTGAATCGGAAAACGTAAATTGTTTTCATGTTTTATTAAAACGAAAAATGCAAAAATTCAATTTTTGAAAATTTAATTTATTTTTCGGGTTTTGAAAAGGTGGAATTGTAATCATGTTCTTGTCGGCATTTTTGAATGCATTAAAAATTGGAAATTATTATTCCATTTCCGTGAATGGATTACATTTTTATTAGAATCTCAAGACGCTATTCACATTAATTTAAATGTGTTTTCCAGAAATTATTATAAAAGGAGGCAATTCAGTAAATTATTTGGCATGCGTTTTACTCCTGCTTGTATCTCTCTGTCCATCATCCAATCACTTATGTTTCCTTTTATTCAATATAAGTTTTGTTTTGTTGCTGAAGTCATTTCTGTTCATAAGTTCCTTTTTTAAATTCAGTAAGGTGAAATATTTGAACACTTCTAAGTCTTTTTATGGAATAAGCAATTAACTAATTAGCTATTGAGAATAGTAGTGAAGAATAGATGATAACAATATCAAAACTCAGAATTGTTATTTTTTTTTCATTTACATTTACATTTATCCGACGCAATATTTGTTCAAGGAATGAATGATTACATAATCTGTAAAATGCGATTAATTTCATTAAATTATATTATCATTAAATGACCCGCAAAATCTATTTTCACTTGTTTTTAACATCGTTTGCATCTGCCAGCAGTGTAAAAATACCCATTCATTTCACCGAAATGAAAATACCATTGATCAAAGAAAAAAAAAATTTTAATCGGAAGATTTTAATCGAAACAGAAACTTACATACATCGAAATTACGAAATCAATTTTGTTTGATATTTTTATTGGAAAAAATAAATTATCGGTCATTGGAATAAATTAATATTTAACATTTATGTTTATGAAGCAAAATGATCCTTCGGTTATTTTTGCAACATTAGAAAAATTGATCTCAGTTATAGCATACTAAGCTAATTTTTGTGAAAAAAAAAATGAAATCTTGCCAATTTTGCAAGTAACAAAGTAGTCCTCTTAATTACTACATTGCTTACTTAATTAAATTTGCTAATTTAATAGAAGGAAGATTTATATTCACTAACTGTTCATCGGTTTCAATAACATTCCGTAATGATGAGGATATCTCCGACAACTTTCTGCAACATTTTTCTCATAGCCTTTAACTTCAAAGGAAATGTAACTTTTACAACAATGACAAATAATACAAAACATTGTGGGGCCGTTATCCAATCTCTAAAACGATAAAAATTCAGTAAAAGTTATTACTCTATCAGCAATGGCAAATATCAAATTTTTATACTTTATAAAATATTAGCTGAATTTCAGAAATGTTCTTGTTATTACTATCAATACTGATTCCCACTGTTTGCTCGATACTACAAGTGCAGGTACCATACATATACCTTCCTTTATTTTCAATTATTTCTTCTTATCTGAGTTAATATATGTATGTCGTTGTAATTCTAGTCTAGTTGATAAAAACTTGAAAAGTATTCTTAGCTCACTGCTAGACTAACATTTTAAGGACTAGTTTTTTTAAACATATTATTTAATTTCTAAGAAATACATCTATTTAAAAAATCAACTACGTCAAATAAATTACCTTAAGGTGCTTTGTATCATAGCAATAGGAGAAAGTAAGTTTGGCCTGAATTAATTAACAAATTAAGTAATGAATTATTGGAAGTTTTGCAGAGAAATGAAAGAAGATTTTACGATCAATTAGATGGTTTATGGACATTTGTAAGAGAGGAAAGGAATTCACCTTCCGTAGGCATAAAACATAAGTGGCATTTATACGATTTGTCACAATTTGAGGTATTGCTATCAGTTAAGCAATTTGACAGTTTTTGTTTTGATTTATTGATCAGTAAATTTTATCCTTGTAAAAAGTTAATGAAATTGTCATTTTAACCGACAAGCCTGTCATTTATTTAAACAGTGTTAAGAGATAAATCTTAGAAGTGCTTCAGAACGCGACTGTAATGCCGGTTCCGGCAGCTTACAATGATCTAACAGCGGATCGGCAAGTACGTGAACATGTCGGTTGGGTGTGGTATCAGCGTAAATTTTTCGTCAGCGTACGCGATAAATCTTATCGGCATTTTCTCCGTTTCTCTAGTGTACAGTATTACGCCGTCGTCGTAAGTTAATTAATTTGCATTAATGAACTTTGTCATATTGGCATATCCGAAATTAATTTAATGCAGCGCACCGGTTAAAATTATTTCGGACTTTTGTAAATGTCACTCCTTAGAATGATCCGATCGTGAGGTTCACGACAACCAATAATGATTGACACATCCATATCTGTTTACCTGCCTTATTTTAGAATCGAGAATTCTTGAATTGATTTTTTTTTTAAACAAAATAAATGGATTTGAAAATTCAGTTCATAAACGACAAAATTGTTGGCATTCACGTCGGTGGTCATTTACCATTTGAAATTGACATCACAAATCACGTTTTGTTCGATAATGAAAATCGTCTCACCGTAGCAGTGAACAATACGATGACCTCAGGAACAATACCGCCCGGTGAATTTCGATACATTCAAAAACAGCGTGGTGAAAGTAAACAATATTCCGAAGGGTTCGTTATCTTAAAGAAAACATTTTCTATCAAATGTTAAATTAAACTATCCATCACAATTTATTTTGATTTTATGATTTTGTTTTATTTTTGGACAGTTACCAAGAATTTTCAAAAGATTTTTGATATTATTGCGAATTAACTTACTATATATAAATTTGGTTTATAAACTCCAATGAATTTCATATATATACAAATGTAATTTGAATTCTGAATCATTACATGATATGACTAAAAAATGGAAATAATTTTATTTTGATGAAATTATTCAGGATAAAGTAAACACTAAGATTACTTCCAGCTTTTGCGACTTTTAAATGCAATTCATTAAAACATGAGATCCAAAAATTTTATTTAAATAGAGTTGATTTATGATTTTCAGATTTTTTAAGCAAACATGGAATTTCGACTTCTTCAACTATGCCGGAATACTACGACCCGTATATATCACGAGAAAACCATTTACATACATTGACGATATTAGTATCAAGGCTGAGGCAAATGGTAAAAAAAAACAATTTCAATAAGGAAATTTGTTAAAAATTTTTCTGCAACGATAAAATTTAGTTCAAGTTAATTTTAAAAAATATAGAGAATAATTTATTTTAAAGCAAGTTGATTGTGAAACAAAGTTTGTTATCAGTTCATATCAACTAATCATCCATTTATTATCAGTAATTTTTTCTGCTCAGCACAATTACAGGATCTTTCGCCTATAGAATAAATACCATATCGAGTAGTCAATTGGGAACGATTCAGGTGACAGTAATGGATGGCTATGGTACCGTGATATTTGAAAGTAATCGATATTATTACACTGGCCACATCAATAATATCCGGCCATGGTGGCCTCGTGATATGGGATTTCCCGTCTTGTATAACTTCGTGGTAAACTATTAGTGAAAATTAGCTATACAGCATAATTCTACCATTATCATAAAGACTACTTTTAATCAAATCACATTTTCTAAAGGTAATACTAAATTGATCAATAGAATACAAATTCTTCACTTGTATGAGGAAAGAAAAATTTTGAAATGCATTTTGTGGTAATTTATAAATTTCAATCTTTTTGCATTGAATTGATATGTTATATTAATTTTGATTTAATATTGCTATTTTTAAACAAATCAGTGAATTTATTGCGACTTCTCATTTATCCAATAATGATTTTACAACAGAAAAATAAAAAAAAAATAGAATCAGACAATGAAATAAAGTAAACAGAACTGTCCACATTTGCGGCACAAAGTGAATTTCCAGGTTCAATTAACAATCTCAGGTATTTTAATCGATGTGTATCGTTTGTGGTTTGGTTTCCGCACCGTAAGTATTTCGAAGGATCAAACTTTCATAAATGGAAAACCATTTTATTGTCATGGTTTTGGTATGCATGAAGATTTTGAAGTGCGTTTTCTTTTGTACTGATAATTTTTGAAGTGAACTTTAAAATTATCTAATTTGTTTGTAGTAGGTAATACTGTAGGAAGGATATTATCTAGAAAATATTGGGATAAATGTATTAAGTGATAGATTTATCACCATATCTGAATTTCCAACTTAGCCCCACTCCATTTTTATTCCGAAATAAGAAAAAGAGATGATTGAAAAACAATATGATAAATTAGTGTTGGCAAATCTTACATTATGATTTAGGTGTTAATTTATGATGTAAGAATAAGAAGATATGATTGGAAACATCTGACTGGTAAAAGAAATGTTATCAAAAGATAATGATCTTACTATTCTGTTTCTATTCCAATAAAAATTTACAGCTTCATGGCCGTGGTTATAATCCAGTAGTAATGATCAAAGATTTGAATATGCTCGAATGGATGAATGGTAATTGCTATCGTACATCACACTATCCCTACAGTGAAGAAATGGCTTCCGAAGCTGATCGTCGTGGTATTGCTGTTATCACCGAAACACCCGCCGTTGGATTAAGGCAAGTTCACGTAAAACATCAATAGCCTTCAAGTGAAATTTTGAAATTATTCATGCGAAGGTGGTACTTCAAATGCTTAATTATACTAAACTGTATTTCAAATACTTAATTTTTTTCAACTGTTTGAAATATAATCTTCAAATACATAATTACTTATATTTTCAACAATTAATTATATTATGAAAGTAATCCTAGTATTGTCACTTAACGTTGCATGATCATCAATTTTCAATTTCTACAAGTCAATTCTTTTTACACACATACAAAAGTAAGATTCATATAACACTTTTTTTTTGGGATCATTTTAGTAAAGTAACGTCGTAATGGATCTGTTTAATTCATAATATAAGTAATGTAATGTTATCATATTCCTCTCGTTGTACTAAAGTCACTAAAAATTTAATTTCTACATAAATGATAATTTGATCATTTCAGTTATTTTACAAAGCAAAACCAATTGTTGCATGCAGAAATAATACGTGAATTGATTGAACGTGATCGAAATCATCCATCAACAATTATGTGGTCATTAGCTAATGAGCCGACGTCTAGTGATCCAGCAGCTCGATCGTATTTCAGGTTAAATTTTCTTAAATTTTCAATTTCTCCCTCAAGCATATTTTTTCTATTCAGCTCTTAATACCACAGAAGTGATAGGAGAAATGATAAGTGAACAAGCATTTAGGACCTCAAAATTGTTCTTGTCATTCAATAGAAAAGGTAAGCTTTGAAAAACACAATAACACAATCTGACTTTATGTATATTTGACACTTTAAGTCTCTTCTTGTTTTTTTACTGCAAAGTACCGCAAATAAAATTTCACTTTTTTCTTGTTTGTGATGAATCATCGATCGAACTAACTCAATGTTTGCTGCAAAACATTTACAAAATTTAGAGAAATGAATGAAGAAGAAAAATTGAAATTTATGAGAAATCAATTTTAGTGAACTCATCAATCTGACGCGGACAATTGATCCAACTCGACCTGTTACAGCTGTACTGGCAGCAAGTTTCGATGCTGACCAAGTAGTAAGGCGTTACCTTCAATTCAAGATAGCGCAGCCCGTCGAGAAAACTTCGAGAACTAATTGCTTAATTGCCAAAAATTAATTAATATCCTCAATCACAGAACTGAATGTATTTCTCTAACTATGCTGGAGCTAGTTTCCGAAAGATATTTGTTTGAGAAAAGTTAGGTATTGAAGCCTACTTCAGTTTAAAATTTTTAATATATTTTTGATTTAAATTAATTAATTTTCAGGCTGATCTACTCGATGTAATTTGTATCAATCGGTATTTTGGCTGGTACATTGATACCGGTTATTTGGAAACCATTAATCATAGTTGGATATTTGAAGTGAACAATTGGAAATTAAAATACAATAAACCAATAATTGTGTCAGAGTATGGTGCGGAAGCGCTGCCAGGTTTAAATCAAGTGCGCAAAAAATTTCTGTAATATTTTCAATCACCAAAAAAGATTGGTTCAGTAAAAAATGAAAGCAAAACAAAATGACCGTCATGTCTTTTTGGTTTCGAAATTTCCACAGTGAAACAATTGTCGACTTCATCTTTTGTATTTGCAACATTGTCGTGGAGATTTCCATCGAATCATTTTTTAAGGAGCCAAGTCGTGCCTTTAGTGAGCAGTATCAGCAAGAACTGTTAAAACAAACACATCATGCATTCGATATATTGCGGAAGAATCATACAATTGCTGGTGAAATGGTTTGGAATCTGGCTGATTTCATGACAGCTGATGGTTTGTTTGATTAACCAATTCATCCTCAACAAACAGGAAAATAGAATTTCGAAGTTCTATAAAAAAAACATTTCATTGATCCGATTCAATTAAAAAAGTCCGATTAAATTAATCAATGGATTCCTTTCCAGAACCCAAATAAAATATCCATTACGCATGAAAAATTACATTAGGAACTAAAATTAATTTTATTACAAAAAAAAAAAATAGAAATTCTCATTACAGGTGTGACACGCGTAGTGGGCAACCATAAAGGAGTGTTAACACGTAATCGACAACCCAAAATGGCGGCTTATATTTTGAAAAGTCGTTACAAAGATTTGGAAAAAAAAGTGAATTATTTGAAGTAAAATTTTGGTACAAATTAAGCATCGATCTTTTTTTGCATACAATACTTTGATAAATAGCACACATTGGCAATGTTTATTGTTGTATGATAATTTTTTATCACGTTGATGTGGAAGATAGTGCAAAATCTTACTTGAAGTTCAACCTATGAGCTCCAAATAATAATTTCGAATTTGGATAATTAAACTAATGAATTAACTCCTCTTTCATTTTTCGTATGAATCATCATTATTTCAACTATCACTGCCCTGAATTGTTTATATCTTTTCAAACTGTATAAAAGAAAACTGAATCACATCTTAATTAAATTAAAAGCAACTAAATGTTATAAGATGTATTATTCCAGTTAAGCAATGGAAAACATTGTTGACATCGTTTTATGTGAAATATTCGGAGGACGATGTCTGGAATATTTTTTGAAGAAAAAAAAGACAGCTAAAAGGCTCGCCATAGAATTTTAGCTTTTCAAGAAAAGATTAAAAAGCTCTAAAAATGGGATCGCTTCCTAATAATCTTCGAAAAATCATTTTTTTCCCGAACAGTTCTAAGATCTTTACTTAATGCATACTATAAGTCTACTTTATAAAAACTTTCAAATTCTATATAAACTATAAGAATATATAATTAGTTAATGATAATGATAACGATAATCAAATCAATTGTCCATAATTAATAAAGTGATTTCATTAAACGAGTTGACCTAGTGATTGTTAATATTTTATCACTCTTCGACAAGTATCATCAGCACATAGTCATCGCAGATGTACCATATAAAATCATCTATTTTTATGGTCTCCTTTACTAAATTAATCGTGACCCTTAAGATTAAAAATGTAATTTAAAGCAAAAAAAAAGGAAAGAATAGAATAGTTAATAGCACTTAAAAATGTCAGTACCATATATTAGACTTAACTATAGACAAACATTCATTTTATTCACATGTATTTCAATGAATGTTTGTCTACAGTTAAGTCTAATTTCACTTCAATTAACTAATTTATCGGCCACTACCTGATTACTAATTTTAATCCAATAAATTTATTTTCGAATATTAAATTATTGAAACAGAATAATTCCGGAAACCAAGGAAGATTAAGATAAGCATACAAAAAGCGTTATTGAGAAATATGACATCTGAATGGTCTACAGTTAAGAAGACAGCTTACTTCACATTTTTGACGCCTTCAAGGAATTCTCATCGTTGCTGTGATTCTAAAGTTGAGTGGAAGAAGGATGAAATAAGCACAACAGAAGTATTGTAAACGTTTCCTGGTTGTATCGGTTTAACTAAAGTTTTTGAGTCTTTTTTTTCTCAACTTTCAAACTGATCGAGAATAATCCCAAATAATCATCTTAAACATTAGTGGATGGTTAAGAGTGGTTATTTGGAAATCATTAATCATTGCTGGGTCGTTCGGTATGTGAAGTAAATAACTGAACCAATTATTGCATCAAAATATTTATAAAATGCATTAAAATATGGAGCGGTGCTTCAAAAAGTAACAACAGAACTATCGTCGATTGCAGAACTGTACTTATTCGTTTAGCATATTTCTGCTGATATTCTTCAATCTATGAAAAATACAACTCCTAATTGAAGCTGTTATGAATCGCCATCAACAGCATATTAATTTCAATAGTGATTTATATGAGTGAATAAAAAGATTTATAATTGTGATTGTTCTATATTCACATTACTTTCCTTCCGCGTTTTCTGACAAGAATCAATCACAAATTAGATAAAAGAGCTAAGAAGAAGTTCCCGAATTGATATTGTACAGTGATTAACTTTCATTCATATTGATAATCGTTTTGCCTCTTCCTTTTTTTTTCAATACTTTCTCATAAGCTATCGGAAGTTCATCATATTTGAAAACTTGATCAATCACTGGCTTCATCTGAAATTTCAGGAATAAACTTGGACGAAAATTTAAAATTCAAATACATTAAAATTAGTGATAAGTATCTTTCCATCTGTTCAAGTTTTAACCTTGCCATCCTTCAGAAATTCCGAAATCTGCTGCATACATTCCGGATGTGGAGCAAAAAACGCATATGAATACCACTGTCCACGTCGAACTATTGGCTAAAATGAGGTTTGAAATAAAAGTCGATATTATTTTAAACAATAAAAAAGCTGGACCTGAAGAAGATTTGTATTTGTTTCAAGTCCAGCTTGTTTATTGTTTAGAAATAAGCTTTAAAGAAAACAGTTTAAAAAAATCCAAATATGTTAAAATTAGTGATAAAATCTGTGAACTGGTGTTTACTGACATTAAAGTTGCAAAACCTGTGGTAACAAAAGTAGGAAAGATGAAAGCTATCACAAAATTCCTGAATTTCAAATTTAGAAGTAATCCAACTAAAATCCAAAAAAAACTAATGTAACAAACGTTAGACTTTTCGCATAAAGGTTCTTAGACTTACAATTAGATTATTACGAAAGTGAAATACGCACGCTCTGTATGGATAAAATCATAATAATTATCACATGCACATCATTCCAACAAAAAAAAAGGAAAGTCTGAATAATTTCAAAATTGATTAAGATTAAAACAAACCAGTGTTGCTTTCAGGAAATACTTTACACCAGTTGAAGCAATCCCAAATAGTATTCCATATCTAAAAAAGAAAACTCGATTTCAGGGAAAAAAGAATGGGGAAAAACCGAAAACAAACGAATCACATGCTCTGATGCAACATACCAACTTATAAAGATTAAAAGAAAGAATTAGATAGTTAACACTCCTGAACATATTTTGAAAAGCCCATTATAAGGTTAGGCTCAAAGTGAAATGACATCACCGGGAGAGACACTGTACCAAATTACTAGACAATATTTGAAGAGGAAATAAGATAAGAATCGAGAGATGAGCAAATAACTTAGAATGCCTATACTGAGGATGAATAAATATATAAGCTAAAATTAAGCACAGTGATTTCAGTTTTTGCTACAGTTATTTTGAATTGAAGGTAAAACAATTTTCTTTCTCCTTAAAACAATTTTCTTTTTTCCTTAATTAATCAATATAGTTCATACCTGTCAGTATCATCAAGAAGTGGGCTGGAAAGAGAAACGTGCACACTATTGCGCCATAATCCCATTACTTTACTACTCTGCTCCGTCAGTTCCGATTGAGCGCAATCTAACACTACATCAAATGGTCCTTCACTGATTAACTTTTCCAAAGCTTCTGCACTTTTGTAATTTATCGGTATTGCTCCAAGTTTTTGCATTGTATTAAAACTAAAGTAGTGGAACAAATAAAAAAGTAGAAAGGGCAAATCAAGTACCAAACGTGGTTTAGAATTTTTTAGAACTTCCTTTGCGTATTAACAATATTAATTCTCTGCAGTCTTCAAAATTTTAAAAATAATTTATTTATTGGAATATTTGTAATTATTTTAATGACTGAATTCATCAATTACTATTAAATCTTCAATTAGTGATTTTTGACACTTTTTTTTGGGAGTTGTTAGCAAAGACAAAGCATTATAAATAATTTATGGCTGCTCAAACGAAATGATTTAATAATTGTGACAATTCAGAAAACTTCGTTGTGTAAAAAATACATTACCGGCAGATATACTATACTAAATGACCCTTAGTGAAATATTCCTACTATTTTATTTATCTGTGTTCACTTTACTGCAAAAAGTTTTTCAAAACTTATAAGTTATAATAATTAACCTACCAGTCACTCGAGCATGTCACCACTACCTTATCAATATTCCACGCTTTGAGCATTTGCACTGCTGTTGTTCCTACACCACCAGCACCGCCGTGTATTAATACACGCTGCGATGCAGCATTGTATGGATTAATTCGAGCTATCTAAAACTCACAAAAAGATAAGCTTATCCAAATTCAAAAATACTCAAAATTTCTTGTTTTCTTGACATTTCAGATAACATACTTTCAGATAATGAGACGATTGCAAACTATGATCAGATATTTCGCTGAAGAGGATGTTCAGATCAAAATCTATAGGGGAATGAAGAAAAATGTCAAACTTCACTTTTAAACTTTTTCAGACTAATACAGGTCAAATTTGTATCATATTTTCATATAAGGCTACGGAGATATCAATCACATATGCAACAAACTTTGTATTTTTCATTACCGAAACTAGTGCTGACCAAGCGGTACAAGCTGTATATGGAAATGCGGCACCATCAATATATGATACATTAGTCGGCTTTGAGACACAATTTGATTCTTTTACAACTACAAATTCTGCATGTGTTCCTGAACTGAAGGGATCGACCACAGCAATTACCTCAAAAACTTCACAAAGTAAAAAGCATAGTTAATCAAACGAGTATTCAAAATTCATGTTCGCCAAGTCCAAATCATCTTCTCGACATTTCAGCAACTTATGAATTTTTCATGAAGATCATAACGAAATGCAAAAATAAAAATGAAATTTCAAACATTTATTAAGATTTAAAAATTCTAAAAAATTAGAATAACTACAATTTAAATAAAATATAAGTGTTTTCCTCATCATCCTTCATTAGAATAATTCTAAAATTCTTGAGAAAAAAACGACATCCTTGCTTTTACCTTATCATCTTTCTTGAATCTCTTCACATTTCCACCAATCTGTTCAACAATACCACTACAATCTCGACCACCAATAAATGGTAACAGTATTGTGGAATCCATCGAACAATTTCGGAAATTTTTCACTGCTGAACATAATTGTCGTCCATATCCTTTTCGCATTACAGTATCAATTGGATTTACACTAGCCGCCTACAATTAAAAAGAAAATGGAAATTCGCATTTCATTTTAGAGAAAATTTAAGAAAACTTCCACTGCATAGTTCTAATTTCAAAGAACGACAAATGGACTTGTTCAAAAATTAAACAAACCTTAACTTTGACCAGAAGCTCATCTGGTTTCTCAATAGTGGGAATTGGCATTTCAACCTTCTCCATATCACCATCGAACTGTTTTGTTACCCATGTTGACATTCTTTTCTCCCAGGATTTATTAGCAATAGTAGACCCTAATAACCGCTGTATATCGCGCACGATCATGCTAAACATGAAAAAAAATTTTTCTTAAAAACTTTACTTAGGTCCTCTTTTTTATCGATTATAATCAATTAAGCCAATTTTTAAGTAATAAATTATTAAATCTATGCTTTCCTTGTTGAATAAAGAAATGATTGTGATTGGTTGACTTGTCATAATCAAACAATAGACAATCATAAGCGATATTTCAAACTAATACAGTGAACTGACAAATTAAGCTATTCCAATGAAGTGATAATTAAGCCATCACTTGTATGTATTATATTAAGTAATGAGCTTGAACAAAGAAGCATGTAGAAATATTACTCATAAAATTGATTTCAATTTTAAAATTTTACAAAGGAAACTGATGCACACAAATCATTTTATTCAGAAAAATAGAGGATATATAGAAAAAGAGAAATGAAATAAAAAACATTTAATTACTGAAGCAATTTCAAATCTACTGCTTAATGTATAGCCGATTAAAAATTTAACTATTCTGTCAGTTGTAAAAGTTCTAAAACTTGAACAATTTGTTGCTTTATTCCTTTTCTTTTTGTTTCTTTCTTTAGAAAAAATTTGGTCTCTTTCTTTTTATTTCGTTAAACAAAGCTTTTTAAAACATGCAGATATTAATTTTGATACATAAGAAGCTTATTTTAAGCTTTTTATTTCTTCTAGATTACGCAAAGGAGAAAAATTTATTTAAAAAAATTATTAAGTTTCAATCTTTAGCTCTTCATGAAATGCACAAATTTCTAACTCAATCGATAAAAATCAGTCCCCTAACATTCTTCCCCAAATCCGACCGGAATATTTCATCGCAGATCGATAATGCCTACAACATATTGGACCTATCTACGGATGTTTTTTATAAAACTACAAACATTCACTAAAATCAATTTTTTCAGTTTGAAAAATTTTTCGAAATTCATTATTCAGTAAAGCATCCAGTGATATATCATCGCGAGTGCTTGTCCATTTTTTACCAACCAAGTCAAATCTAAAAATATTAACTATTTACGATCATATAAGCTAATATGAAATGAATGTAAAACTATCAGTATATTATCCAAAGAAGACACTTCCGCTTGACGAATTTTAACAATCCAACAATGTTTTCAGTCCTACAACATTTAACTAGTGCGTGTATATAGTAGAGAAATTTTCTTGAAGATGACTTGTAAACAGAAGCGAAACATGCTAGCTTGTCTTGTTTGGCCTTTCTAATTTTAAGCAAATACTAGCTCGATTCCAAATTATCCTTGCAATTCTAACTCTTCTGAGGTTGCAATTGACCCCACGCAGGATTTAATGACTCATCTGACTTGTCAGCAAATTATTGGTAAAACTGCATACCCTCCTTATCCGTAAGTTAAAAAATCTTATCATGAAAATGTACCGCTTTGGACCGGACAAAGGTGAAGAGAGCCAAATTTGTCGATTTGGTGTTTGCTTGTTGATAACATAAGTACCCATTTTTTGGCTAATTTTAGCCGTAACGACACCCATAGACGAATTCACATCATATTCTCTGTCACAGCTGAATTTATCTGGAAAAGAATCCAGATAATCGGCCAATTTATTCAACGTTTCGTCAGCCAGCTTTTCATATTCATCTTCCGATAAAGTAGCTTCAGAACTTAGATATCTTCCTTAAAAAAGTAAATGAAAGTTTAGATTTGATGTCAAAGTAAAAAACTACCAACACTATTATAAATAAAATATGCTTCATTTCGCGAAAAAAAATTAATAAATCAAAATAACAATCTTGGATTTCAAAAAAAAAAAAATCGTACTTTTTAAGAAAGGTCGTGTATTCATCAGCACTGTAAACAACCGTCGTTTTAACATTTCATCTGCATTAAATTTGAAGTAAACACTTGCGATGTTATCTCATTTGCTAAAATCAAATTTAAAACTGAAGATCTTCCACTGCTTTGCTTTAAGATCAGACTGTTAACTAGATATTAAATTTAAAACCACCCAAATTACTTTCCTAACAAACTGAAACAAAAAGAAAAAAGAAGAAAGGAAAAATATAACAGCATCCGATAAGCAGAATAGCAACAAATATATTAAGAAATTTAGGGGAACTTTATTTTGATTAATAAAACATTTTTTAAACAATGACTACGAATTGTCTATAATTTAGTTGAGATTTATAAGTTGAATTCTAATATTTAAAAAGCATATCCAACATTTCAAGCTAGTAAATTCATTATAAAAAAAAGAAAATAAAACATTAAAACGACATACTTTTCAACAATAAAACACTTCCTATTTAATAACATTTTTTTTTAAAAGCCACATAAGGTAATACACAAATCTGTTCACTCAATAATCATTCAAACGTAATTCTGATAAACGTGATATGAATGAACCGCTTTAACTAAGAATAAATTTCATATATTTCACCGTCTTGTGCATTTTTATTTACTGACATCGTACTGATTGGTGCACATTTTGCAAAAATGTTTTCAACAGGAACTGTAAGTAAAATTTTCATGTTAAATTGAAATTCTGTTTGAAAAAGAAGCAAAACCCAAATTAAATTTTCATAGTCCTTTAAACGGATCATTCATGCAAAAGAAGAATAAAATTAAGATTTATCTTTTCTTCCGTTTCCCTCCTATCTCATCTCTTCTTCCTTATCTTTTCACTCATTCATCTATTCCACGCAGACAACAGCGAAAACAGCGCAAGCAATTAGAATGCATAATGAGGCTACCGTACGGTTGAAAGAATTACGTCAAATTGTTCAAAGTGAAGTGGCCGATTTCGGTCAAGGCACCGATGAAATTATACAATTACAGGTAGAAGCAAGAAAAATGCTCAATTTTATTATCTGCTTTGAAAATTTCAATGCGTGATTTCTTGCACAAAAAGAAATGCTAATTCAATAGATTTAAATAACAATGGAACTTCTAATGATTGGTTGGACAGATTCAGCAGCAGAGCTAATAACAGACATGAATAATAACAATAAACAAAAAAAAAAGGCAAAGTTATTCCTTTCAAGTTATTTGTTAGTCGAGTTATAGGCAACTCAAGACTGGATGAGTTATCATTCGAAAGAGCCTAGCAATAATACTTCCAGGGTGGTGGCGAATTACATTTTGTGAATACAAAAAATACGCGTGCATATTATTTAAATCATAAAGAATCATGGCTATATCTTGAACGTGAAAATGATGGTACATCGGGAACATTGTATATCGTACGACGACTTCCGGATGGACGAATTGTCACAAAAGCTATGCAAGACTGAATGCAAAATCCTATGTACTGTTGGTAGTGAAATTCAAATCGATTTCTTATTTAGAATACAGATTTAAATAAAAATCATTTCAAATACCGAATTTTTAACTACTCATTCTTAAATAAAAATCATTTCAAATACCGAATTTTTAACTACTCATTCTCTGGGCTGCTCCTAAATGTCGCTGATGACAATAACTTTTCTAAAGTACATCTAAATCAAATATATACCAGATAACAATTGTTAAGAACTTTTTTCAAAGAAAAAATAACACACCAGAAAAACCCAGTCATCTGAAATAAATCAGAAGTATGCAAAAATTATCGCATTCCAGAATATTTTTCGATCTATATGCATCATGATTTGTTCTGATAATAAGGATTGAATGGAGATCTGTCTTTTCCAGTCCATTGGCCAGGATCTTCCACTGGTCGTTCCCAGTCGACGAAATGATCGTCTCCAAATTTAAATAACCTTGGAAATTTCGCTCGTTCTTCCTCCGTATATTCGTCAGATCGTTTCACGACACGTTGGACTTGCTCCATCTACAAATAGCTATTGCTAGATAAAAGTCTGAAGTTATGAATTATCTCAAATAATTAAGAAGAGATGTTCTGGCTATTGCGATCTCAAATCTTTCACAAACCCAATCTCAAGGTTTTCCTAGATTGCTGTTAAGATCATTCCTAACAAATGGACTATTCTAACGCCCTTACTAACGCCAGTACATGACCGAAGCATTTACTGAACCAACGAACAAAAACAGGAAACCAAAAGTACTAAGCTTAATCAATTTAGGATATGTCACTATACGCTATAAAATTGCAGATGTTGAAAATATAACCACCTGATTCCCGATATTTTTTTGCACAAAGGCTGGAATTTGATCATCCGCAAACAAATGCAACCTTTCAATTAATCGTTTGCGAAGTTGATTACGACCAAGACTTCTATATACCGTCATATGCATTATTCTGCACGGATCGAAATCCTGAATTTGCCAAGCTGGATATTCGACCTTTGATTTCGGTAGCTCCTAAAAGCATTCAAAAAATTCACTATAGAGCAGTAGTCATAAAAACAACTGGAATCTTTCTAATAACAAAAACTAAAACCTTTCAAGTATTTATTTTAAACATATTCATCAATGTATTCCCGTAGTGATGTTTTCATAAATAAAAATATTTGATATCAATGTTAAATATTTCTGTTTATGGAAACATCATTAGGGGAGTACTTGAAATATATAATGGAGATTTTTAATCTTTATAACAATTTAAGCTTAAAAAAGTGTGAATTAAGTCTAACATACATAATAACCATAGAACAAACGCTATGCAAAACAATGAAATGAAAATGAAACGAACCTTATCAAAGAAAAACCGCTGATTTTTCCAACTGAAACCATGCATTGCAACATCTTTACAGTTTATCACCACGACATGATCACCGCAATCGGTGAACGGGTGATAAATTGGTTTGTGTTTACCGGCTAAATAATTTGCAACTTTTTTGCCAAGTATCCAAACATCCTGAAACAACTAACAATGAAAATTAACAATCAAGAGACTTTAGTAGCATACAAAAGTCAAGAATCGATCTGAAAAACATAATAAATCGTGTGTTTAAAAGCAAATTGGGAAATAAATTATGCATAACGTGTCGTTGCCACAAGGCTGTCATCTATTACATCCACTAATCTTATGTTTAAAAAAAAAACATAGAAGGAAGTGAATGCTTCCGGAAAAGTCAGATACGTTTAGAAAATGAACAACTGGTAGAACTATACAGTGAGTAAGTGCATGAATAAATAAAAAAAAAAAACGATGAATTTAGACAAAATCAGCCTACGTTCATTTCTGCGACACGATGCTATGTAACCTATGACTGCTTTATTAACAATAGAGAATAAAGCTAAACTATGTGGAGAAAAAACCTGGCCGGTGGCGTCTGCAAGATGCCATTGGCGAGCAAATAATAGCCACTGCTGTACTCGACGCATTCGACCGATACCCATTCCGAGAATCACAAATTTTTTTTGAAGAAACACTTATTGATCAACTGCATATTCTTCTAGAAAACTTGATAATGAGATTTATCAAACCAATAATTTAATGCAATTTTATGTACCTCTAAATTAAAATATTAAATTTGGAAATTTTTGCCAAATATTTCGAAAAAAAAAGCAAAATCCTAATCTGCTGTTTATTTCTTTGAATTTCTAAATTGGTAGAAAAAAAATACAGCAAATGCAAGCAAATACATTAGCAAGCATATCGGATACAAAAAAGTTTTGATATGATTTGCAAAATTATAATGTGAAACAATATGTCAATGAAGAGAAAATAACACAATTGAAACATTAAAGATAACCATATATAGAGAAGTTATCAACATCTCACTAAATAATATTGTTCTAGAAGACAAAGTTGAATCATTCAAAATTCAAAAATATAAAACAATTCGAGTTGAAATAACTCCATTAAAATTCATTTGCATAATATGATGCCTACAGCTACACCTCATCAGGTCTTACTAACACAACCTATATTTTTTTTCTAAAACAAAATTATCCAGAATTATCACGACATAAAAATGAAATTACTTCAACCAAGTTCCATCATAATAAAACAAATTCTCTGTATTTTATGCATTTGTTATCTCAGAAAAAAACATCGTACTACATTAGCATAGAGAAATTAATCACATTAGCACCTTCAAAAAATCACAGACAATCGCAGACAAATTGCTTGAATGGCAACCACAACTTTTTATTTAATGAATGGTAGAACTACTAAAATCACAATGAATAATTACAGCAAGTATTTCAAACAAAAAATAAATAAATATAAGTAAAAAAATCACCAAATCACTTGCCCCTGATATTCTGGTAGTACGCAAACTTTCTTCAAAGTTTCGTAAACCATCATCGTTGCCGTCGCATATATACAGCTATTAATCATTCTCGGTAAAAGACCTTTTGTTATTATCTTATATCTCTCATCGAACCACATCGTTTTAATAGTATTTGGGTAAGATGCACGCTGAACCTGTAAAAAAATAGAATTCAATTATTTAAATTAATATTTGAGATCTAAATTCATAGTATAAATAATTATACTACTCTCACAACGTATAGTTTCAAAAACCAAGTCTGAATAATAACTGTTGTCAAAAATTAATATCTCGGATCAAAAATGAGGCTATAATTTAGTATTTGAAGTCTAAAATTGTAATTTAAAATACTGAAATAATTCAAAACTGGAAAATATGCAGCAGCGCATAATATCTTTTAAAAACTTTTAAACATTTGAAAATCCACGAGCCTGTGCACGTAATCGCAGTATTTCTAGCGGATTTGTTAGAGTTGTTGAGACCATAGAAGAGATCGCTGCAGCTGCTCCCTGATCTAATAAAAGATAGGGATGCCCGTCTTTGTCATATCCTGAAAATTTTTTTTTTCAATTCTTAATATTTGATCCGTCAATGATAACGACAAACAAACCTAAATAATGTATGCTCACCAAGTAAACTATGAAGAAATTTCCTCCTACACCATCGAATGCTTTCCAGACATGTATAATATACTGTCCAAAATATTGACCCAGCAGACATCCCCAATGCAGTTGAGACTATATAACCTCTAGAAATATCAAAACAAAGATAACGAAAAATATCAAAAGCCAAAACAAAAGCCAAATTTGAAAAATTTAAAACCAATAACGGAGACTTTCCAATTTCGAAAAGGAAAACTGTATTACGGTTTGAAAATTTTTTTTTTAATTTGAGAGGGTAAAAAAGATCTAAAAATAAGCCGATAGGTCATTTCGTCACAGAAATGATTAAATAACTTATGATGGCATGGAAATGCTCATAGTACTTTACACTTTTTTGTTGCACTGGTCAAGTATAACTTATCAAGTTAACCAGTATTTTCAATTAATGATGCAATTAGGCCGCGTACCCATTTCAAAAACTGACACTGTGAACCATTTATTTAACTTATAAAGTACTATTAGTTCTAATTAATAACATAATAATGCTTCCTTATCTTAGCTGGAATTTGTAAAGGGGCATATGATCAAGTATTAAAACACAGCAATTAGTATTATGACATGATAGGTTCGAACAGTTTTTTAGAAAATGATTGATACATATCTCAGATCTTTTTATAATCTTATAATACCTGAAAAAGCCACGGTAACCATCAACATGATATAAGGCGCGGAGAATTTGAAGAGCGGGTCTTGATGAGAACTTGGCCTTATTTTGATGTATATAATTCAAAACGGCAGCATGATGAGGCTCACCTAAAACTGTTGTCATAATAACTGAAATTACCAAAAAAGTTCAGGATTCATTTGCAGAACTTATACAATATTTTCATATAAAGATAAGTCGACTGATGTGGATAAGAAAAGCAAGTTTTATGTAGCAGAAAGGTGTAACTGTGTCAACGCTGTGCTAAAAACTGCCACTTTAGATAGGTAATTTTTTAGCCTTTTGAATTGATGTGAAATTTACCAATAAAGGCTGAGGGATTGTTGTAGATAATCATATACTGCGAAGTAATATCTGTTGGAACAAATATGATTTGAGTTAAAAGCGACGCAGTACCACCTTAAAGTATATTTTATATATAAAGATGTCACAAACTTCTACAACTCACTATAATTTATATATTTATTTGGAATAACTAATTTTATAACTTCATATTTCATCAAGTTATAAAAAAGCTTTTTGACTTAAGTTTTGTGAGAGATAAATTTGCAGTAATTAATACAAAAAAAATTTGTCTCCTGCACCAAACTACAAAATGGTAAAATGGTTTCGTTATGACCGATTCTAATTCCGTCCAGCACTACTATGTAAAACATTACTTACATTATCAAACAATTTTGAAAATAATTTCTTCAAAATACTTCCAATAACCTTGAGAAAAGACTAAAACCAACTTACCAGCTAAGGAAGAAACTAATTTGTCGGAAGATAAACCCAGATGAAATTTTAACGATTCACGCGTTTTCTCATAAGCATTACAGTATATCAATGGTGCAATATTTTGCGGAACTGTCATCAAGAAACCCTTAAATTAGAAAGTAGCTGTTATAAGAATATTAGAAAATGGTGAAAATAATAATCCTCAACTCAATAAAAATCGAAAATTAAAAACATTTTTCACATTTAAAAAGGTAGGGTAAATATACAAAAAACTACAATGGCCTTGAGTGTGATAACATAGATGATACAATAACTGGGCATCTACAGTATATATATATATATATATATATATACACGATTATATTTACACTTAGAGTCTGCAAATGCACGCCATAAAGAAAAACGGGTATGTGTGAAACGATTGTGAAAGGATCACAAGTCATTAGCTGTTTTATTCGCTAATTAAACGGAATAGATGATTAGTAAACCACAAGAGATGAGGAATTTTAATTGAAATAGAATAAAAAAAAAGAAAAACATACCCTATACACACCACGTAAACCTTCATTTCGAACAACATGCACTAATGCATGTCGCACTCCTTTGTAAACTGTATTTTGTTTTTGAAGTTGTAAGCGTGATTTGACAAAATTAAATGGATATGTCAAGAATCTTATACTGCATGATGATGTGAAGATATATGTGGATAAGCTATATTTATCTAAATGCCTCCATTCGATTACTTGTAACTGAAAATTTTGGAAAAAAATTGAGGATACTTTCAATTATTCTAAACATTGACAAAAAAAATTCCACCGAATAAAGATGAAAAGATTCTTCCACAACTCCAGACTAACACAATCTATATTTTATCCATTTCTATTAAGGAATAAGAGAAGATTCAGGATTCATGAAATATGAACTACTATTTAAAAATGGAAACTCAAACTGTGATATATGATTTACTCTGAATGAGAGTCCACACTGCTCAGTCCAAACCATCCGGACAAACCAAACAAGATTATAAACCGTTGTTTGCACACCGATTGGCCCAAATGCAATTGAATTCGGCATGCTAATTATTCCTACCCCAAAAATCAACAGTACTGAAATACCAGTTAACTTAATTCCCAGGTTGAAAACTGCAACTTCTAGGAATATTTCTGAAAAAAAAAAGATATCATACCCCATAATCAGATTGAGTAGTTGAATTCATAAAAAATTTAAAGTGTTCGAAGTAGCATGCAAACAGTAGTATAATGAAAACTGCACTGCAACAGTATAAAAATAACAATGGCCAAGATTTCGATACTCTCACGACTAAGATAATATCCACCGCCAGTATATTACTGTTCATCAAATAATTGAAGAGATCAATCCATTTCTAGCATAACGATCATATTTCCATCTTCAAAACGTCATTTAAATATAACCTACGACCTATCTTCCAACCGACGCATCAATAGAAATGATATCGTTTCTTTTATAAATCTGTCATCCGTTTTTTAGTTTATAAAGAATATTTTCCAATTTCCATTTACTAATTTAACAACAAGCAAAAATCTACGCTGTTATGAAACTGCAGAAGAATGCAGCAGGAAATGGAAAACGAAAATGCCGAATATGTAAATAACAAATTCAAATTACCAATTTCTTTAACTAACTGAAACAAATCATATACAAAGGATTACATCATGGTAGTCGAATAGAAAAGAAGTAAAAAAGACATAAATAATTAAGAACAATTCTAAAAATATTCCATCCATTAGATTTTAATCAACAAACAAGCGTCAATTTAACTACTTTCTTGGAAAAATAATAGCTATATTCAATTTATCACATATGGTTTTGATAAACGAATTCATTTTTTGTTTCCGTAAAATTTCTTTCTCACTTATTATAATCGCAATCCCTTGCAGCCAGAAATGAAATACAGGAAGGAAATTAAGCATAGTAATACAACGAAGCTTTCTTCTTTGCTTGAACTTCTAGAATAGCATCCATAAAATCTTCATGCATAACTTCAACGGCGTCACGTCGTAATGCAATCATTCCCTACAATACTGGGTATTTGTATAAGTGGACAAAGAAAGAAATCTATAAAAGTAAAACATTTTTGAGAAAAAATGAAAAAAGGAATAAAATTTTCTAATCTTATAATACTACTTAAATCTTTGCAACATTTCAGACTAGAGAGTATGTACCTTATCATCGTGATTTTAAAAAACTCTTTAATCAGGGTCTTGGATCAACATCTACTTACACAAACAATTTCTTTTATATCCGAAACATTACCCTTTTAAATTATTTCAAAATTAGGACATTAATCGGGAAAAGAAATAAAGAATGTATATTCATATTGATGAAGTACTACGTTTTGTATACTGCAGAGTTTGAAATCAAAATGGCTTAGTGTCAGACCAGTGCATTATCTTTGTTTCGCTTGCTAAATTAGTTACGAAAATATACCGCTTCGACGCAAACTGCCTTGCATTGTGATCCATTGAAATCATCCGTACACCGCGCTAATTCTTCAAAATTAACATCTTTGCTGAAAAAGCCATATCGTAAAATTTGTCCGTTTAACAACATTTAAGCTTAGCGGTCAATGACTCTAAAATAAGTAACAAATCTTCGGATATCACTTCATAAAAATATTAGATTTCACCTGTTCGGAAACTCATCTATTTATATGTATAAAATCCGTTAGAAAGATGAACTTCGATCACATCGATTTGAATTGAAATATCAAAGCTTCTCAAATCAGTAATAGTGATTTTCAGAAGCATGTTTCACTTAAACTTACGTTATAAATTGTATGATCAATTTATAATTAGTATTGCTGATCATAAATTGATGAGAAATAATTTAAAGTTCAATTAATGCTTAGGTTTATTATGTCATGGCTTTCGATATACATACAAGGTCGTAAATTTTTAACGTGTCAAATTTAGTCATTTATCAATAATTCCTCCGCTAACTAAGTAAGAATACATCGATTCTCTCGTGTCACATGCAAGCAAGCTTCATAACAGACTCAATCGTTGACAAACAACAAAAGATTACTACACCACAAAACAGTACATTTCATTGTTCTGCCACACAAATTTGTAGTTCATGTTAAAAAACTGGTAAATTGCGAAAATTTGAATTGTCCATAAAACAAAGTCAGTACCAATGAAAAACTACTTACTGCACATTCATTTTACGCGAATGAATTTGCATTATACGGGCACGAGCATCCTCAGTTGGACTTGGAAGTTCAATTTTACGATCCAAACGACCGCTTCGTAAAAGAGCCGGATCCAAAACGTCGACTCGGTTCGTTGCAGCAATCACCTAAACAAGTTTCCAGATTTCAGTTTTTTTTTTCATTCTTTCATGTTTTTGCAAAAAAAATTAAAATGAAGTGTAATGAACCACTTTTTTTACCTTTATATCATCATTTGGTTGAAAACCATCTAACTGATTTAATAGCTCCAACATTGTACGCTGAACTTCACGATCGCCAGCTTTTTCAGAATCAAAACGCTTTGTCCCTGGAACAGCGATGTATTATAATAAAACATATATGGTAATACTCGACAAAATAAATTGCTAAAAAAATATAATTATATTTGGTGTCCATTTTAAACTTACATGAAGTGATTATATGAGCTAAATGGGTAGATTTACGGAAACAGAGAAACGTGAGAAAATTTCAGAGAGTATCAAATTCGAATATGTTTGAGGTATATTTTTAACTAAACCCAACAACACAATATAGTAAAATACAAGATAAAAAGTCTCATTATCGCAGCAAAATATAATATTATTTCTTAACATTTAATAAATATCATAATTAAATCCTTTTAACATTTACCAATAGCATCTAATTCATCAATAAAAATAATGGCTGGAGCCTTTTCCTTCGCTAACGCAAACGCATCGCGGACAAGTTTTGCTCCATCACCAATGAACATTTGCACTAACTGAGGTCCTGCTAGTTTAAGAAATGTTGACTTTGTTTGCGCTGCTACGGCACGTGCCATCATTGTTTTACCGGTACCTAAAATTACAAAAAAAACAAGAACAAAAACTAGTTCATGGAAAATTATACAATAAAGTAACTTCTATTCAAAATCTCGTCAAATTTCGATATTTCACTTTAAAAAAGTTGATGAAGACACAAATCAGAACAACTGAATTAAACGAAACTGCAGTGATTTAATGATGCGCTATTAAAATAAGAAAAGAATAAAAAGTTATTAAAATTTTTACCTGGTGGACCATAAAGCAAAACACCTTTCGGTGGATGTATTCCAAGATTCAAAAATCGGTCCTTATGTGTCATCGGCAAAACCACCGCCTCAATCAATTCTTGAATTTGCTTATCACAACCGCCAATATCACTATATTGTTCGTTTGGTCTTTCGTCAACTTCCATAGCTTTCACCCTCGAATCATATTCTGCGGGTAATTTCTCTAGAACCAAATAGGAATCCTGCAACATCGGCTACTGTCAAATAAAATATGCTATTGAACTACAATAAACAATCCAAGAATTAAAAAAAAAAGTTACAAAAGTTAACTAAACCATTTTTGGCGACAAACTTATATCCGAAAAAACTCAATATTAAAACCTTTTGGGAAAAATCCATCAACGAACTTTATTTACTCCGACGAGATCACCAGGTTTTAGTTCTGATGGATCTACTAAGCCAACAACTGGAAGAAAATATGTTGCACGAGTAGATGTTTTAATCACAGCACATTTCGTTTTATGCGCATCCAAATCGACGTTTGCACCCTCATCTTCCTGCAGCTCTTCCAAAAGCAGCAATTCAACAACATTTGATACCAAATATGGCAGTGTTTTATTCACCTGAAAACAATAGACATGAAGTGGAAATTTTGAAACTTCAAGAAGGTTTAAATTTGTATTTTAAATGACGAGTTCAGCGCAACACAAAGAATAGCATACTACCTTGATACGTTCAATATTTTCTTTGACATGAGATGTTAGCGTATCTATTGCATGACTGATTCGTTGTATTTCAGAGCGCATGATTCGAATTTCATTTTCCACTAAATGCGTCCGACTCTTCAAATCATCCGCTGACATTCTTAAAATCTCTTCATCCAACGGTTCCTATAATTATTAGTTTATCGATTTTAGTTTTTCGAATATCCCTCACATACAACAAAAGAAATCATTTAGATTCTGTCTGCAGTGAAGAGAAAGTTATTGCATTTCCATCCTTAACAGTTGCAAGAAGTGAATACTTAATACCAGCATAAAATATGTTACAGAATAAATTATAATAATCAACTTTTTACCGAACTAATTCTTCTGTATGTTTGATACAAAAACGAGTACGTGATATTTTTTCAAAAGTAATAAAAATAACATTTTACATACTCATAGTGGATCATCTGAACTTAAAACACGACTACTGAAATCAAAAAAAATAAAGTTTGAATTAATATACGTAAATCTTGGCAAATCAGATTTGTAAAAGGGCAAAATGAATATCTTATTTACATTAGAGAAGTAACAATTTGAACTTACATCTTCAACTTCCATTTGTTCCTCTTTTTTCTCTGTTCCATCACTACCCACTTTAGATGTTTGTTGTTCGCTTTGAATGGAAGACATTTTGTTCAACCTAGAAATGAAAAATTAAAATAGCAAAATATTATTATAACGTAATATCTAAATCTATTAGTTGCCAGATATTAGTAGCAAAATTAATTCTACAAGATTTTCTCACACAATACTTATTCACTTACACACAACTTATTACATTATATGCAATTTTATAAAATTTTGCATGACATATTAACTTACAGCACAGGTGAATGAATTCGATTAACGTAACTGATTAACTCAAATTTAATATAGCACTAATTATCATAATTAATATAATATGAAGTACTACACATACAAATCACGACAAGCACGTAGCATCAACCTTACAGTATTCTGTTCGCTTTATTCCCAACTTTGCACGAAACCATAAAATATTGTAGCTGTTGCGGAATACGGTGACTTAAAGTTTGCGGGCAATGTTTAGGATTAAATTGAATTTGCTCGTGGGAATTGGGAAATAGAATGATTGGAATGTATTGTCGGAACTGAATAACTAAAAGAAATAATTCATTGGAATTGGATAAACCAAACTTGAAGATTGAATAATTTGAATTGAAGATTGAATAATTGAATGATTGAATTAGACGGCAAAGGCGTCACTGAATAACTCATTTCAATTGACTTTTAAAAACTTCATTCTATTACCGGAATGAATGACATTAATATGCTCTCTGAATGAAATCTGATTTTAATCTAAAATAGACTAAACAGCTGAACTGATTTTTCATCTAAAGTTAATTGGCTATTCGTGACGAACACTCAATTCAATCGTTAAAATTTAAAAACTTGGACTAATCATTGGACGAAATTATTTTAAACTATCCGTTTGAATAAGAGTGATCATATTAACGAATCACTCTCTATACAACAGCAAGCATAATCAACATAAAAAATTTACACGAGGATCAAAGCTTAATTTGACCAATGGTTAACTTGTTGCCGCAAAGAAGTATCATTGTATTACCCGGACTTCAGAACAAATAAAAAATTACAATCTAACTTGGAATGAATGTATTAACAAACAATAAATAAATAACAATCCATATTATGTATCATTATTGGAAATAATGAATTTGTTTTAAATTTTATTCGAGATTATTGAAAGGATAAAATCGTTGAAACAATTATCGATTACGAAACATATATCTAAAAATCGAAGACAGCGAAATTAATAGTGTGGTGCGATGTCTTTTATATCGTATAATTCTTTTTTTTTGCTCAATTTGTAAATAAGCAATGAAATTACAGCTTATTATTTAATTTGCTTATAATGATTTTTTTCCTATTCTCCAACCGTACTGTTTTCAAATATTTATTTTGCAAATTAATGTCAAAGGTGTGAAAAGACTACAAGAAAAAAGGCAAATTTGGAAGAATAAACATTACAGGTGGAAAGTGTTTCATTCAGGAATTCAAGAATTAACTCATTACTTTGAACGGATAAAATGAACAAAATGTTAAACTCGAATAATTATGCTATAAAGCATAACTAATTTCCCAGAAAACTGATATGTAATTGTTTTCTTTCTCGGATAAGAATTCAATGACAAAAATGCCGGAATCGGGAAATGTATCAGAACTGGACAGTTTCGAGAATATCATTTGAAATTGAAAGTGACATCATTTAGCAATGATATTTTGTTGCATGACGTGAAAATAACACTTTCCCAACTATTGCCAAATAAATAGCAATGGAATAGTGCGTTTACCGATTTTTAAATGTTGATTTCCCGCAAGGAATTCCAGTTATTAAGTTTTTTTGTCTATTTCGAAAAAATTTTCTAATGATTGTTCTTTTCTTTTTTTGATATTCCAATTTTTGCAATAGTGAGGGTAAAGCAGAGCATGAAAGAAAAAAATCATTGAAAAAAGTAGTCTATCAAAGGTCAACTTAAGCGGTAAGTAAAAGTGAGATTGAGATTTTTGGCTCTGTGATTTATTGTTTCTTTTAGAAGTATTGACAGTGGTGGAGGTTTATTAGTTCGGTGAAATTATCAGAGATCAACGAACGGTACATAGATTTATCTATAGATATTTAACTCTTGAAAGTACTGTTGCTGTTGTAGAGGTTCGTTAATCTGTTAGAATTATTCCTAAACTTTCATGTCTAATTTTTTCTTAAATTTCTAATACGTCCAAAAAAAATTACAAATACGTTCAAAAGTGTTTTATAAGAACTAATTTTTGATAGTTTTGCCAAAAATGTACAAATGGGTACGTAATAGCTCTTTTAATTTTAAAAAAAAATATATTTGTAATTGGAATTCTTTTAATTATTATAATAAAAATGAAATTTATTTTTCAGTACTTAGGAATTGTTTTATTCTTTTTTTTAAATTGTAAAGTCATAATGATATCGTATTCAAATGATGTAACGCTTAACAAAGTGCTATACGATATTAAATGATAAATTCTAGCAAAAAAAGCAATGATAAAGTTAAAATTTTGAAGAAAGAAATTCGTTTTTTGATTGAAACTATTACAATTTTACAAATTTGCTTTTCATTTTTGCGGCTTTCTGACAGTATCTCAATTTTCTCGTCTTCTCAATTTCAGGCATACAATGACAGAAAAACTCTTTTTTATGATAATAAATGTAAGTTTTTTTCTTTTTTAGAATGGCTGAAAAATCGGCCAGAACTGATCAATTCACAGTTTGGGCGAGGGAGAAAAGAGCTATGTTTATACCAGAAAAAGGACTGTTATGGAGGGTGAAAAATTCAAACCGAATGGCTGAGAATGCGAATCGACAAATCCTTGCAACGGGTTATCTGACAATGGTCAAACGCAAGGACGTGCTAAGTAATTTAGGCCCAGTTATACTTGAAATTCTGTTCCGTGAGAATCCATTGGGTCAATTGGTTGCTGCTTTAAAAGAATTCAGCGCAGAAACGGTAAATATTGAGTGGAAGAAAAATTAAAAATTAAAATTTATTGAAATTTTTTCTTTCTTTTTTCTCACCTACTTTAATACATTTTGAAGATTTATAAAATAATTTGTTGTATGAAATATCAAAAATTTCTTTCTGTTGCACGAAATTTTTTTTTCTACGTTCATATTTTAGGTTCGGGAATTTCTTTCCAATTTACGCTTTCTTCTAGTGAGCGAATCGGATGCAGAAATTTCAGATATAACATTTTTATTATCACATTCACCTTTGCTGATAGCATTTTCCTACAGAACTCAACGGAGAGGTATTAGCGATGAAAAATTTGAAGGTTTATTCCCAGCGCTATCAAATACAGAGGTTTTTTTTCTCCTAAATAAAATAGATCAATCATCGCCAGTTCGATCAATGATGTAAAAGAATTTGATACCAAAACATAGCCAGCTTATCACATAAAAAGTTATTCCAAATATTTTGTTCGATTAATAAAATTCTTAATTTACCTTATATTCTTGTGACTTATTTGAAGTTTTTTGGAAATATCTTTCGTCCTGCTTTTATATGATTCATTCACTGCTGGGATGTGATAAGATCTTGAAATGGAATTTTATCAAGGCTACCAATGTCATACAATTACTGATAATTTAATCATCCGATAGGTTCAAGAGACTGGTACCACTTTCTTCGGAAAGTTAATGATCCTTAATTATGTAATCATTGAGTGACGTATCACTCTTATTATAACCAAAAAAAAGAATAAAACTAAAAAAAAATTGGAAAAACCTTTGTTTTTTTTGTATTTTAGATTCGCTTAATTGATTTAAATGGATGTTGTCCGAATAAGGAACTTGAATTGGTTATTAAAAATTTGAATGTAGGATTGGTTCGATTTCACAGAGATCCTGGCATAAATGTTAGTTTTCTTTGTGCACAGGTGTGTATGTCTGTGTGTTCTTTCATTTAAGAATTCTCCCATGAAAAAATTTTAAAGAAAAAAAACTTTTTAGAAAGTCTTGAATAAATTCCAAAAAAAAAAAAATATTATTCCATATTGTAAAATGATCATTTTTCCTCATGGTATGACTATTTTTTTAAATTAAAATACAATTAAAAAAGAGGAGAATGAAAGCAATGATTAACTTTTATCAAAGATATCATCAGAAAACATCCTTCTGATATTATTCATCACAATTAGATTTGCATTTTTTTTTCCTTCAGATAGAAACATTTGAGAATACGAAATTGTTGAATTCGGCAGTTGAATTTATTGTTGCACAAGGCATACATCCCGGCATTGAAAATAGTGGGATAAGATTTTTGAGACATTTAAAGAACGTTTTCCCGGCTATGAAAAATATTTTCTGGGATTGGAGTGTGATGATGCCAACCTTATCACAAGTGAATGATGAGGTCATAGATTGTCTGAATGAATTTTCACGATTATATAAGTATGTTAATAGTTAACAAATTAAGTTTATATGTTAATATTTTACTTCAAAAATTGGGAATGGAATGAAATAATAATCTTTGGTAGATCAATGTTATACGGATTATGTTACCCTGAAAATGATAATGATCTTTGTAAGCTATGAAGTCATTAATTAATTGAATGTAATTTCATCAGAATTTACCGGAATTACATAATGAATTTGCCAGTACGTACTCATTTCACAGTAATAGTATAAGTAAAAAGTAATGTGTCCATCGACATCGTCCATTATTTTATTTCATTCGTCAGTTCGGCTATTTGTAGTTCCAATCATTTCTTTTATAATCATAGCTTTTCTTAATGTATTTGATACATTTTTTAATGATATATCATGTTAGGAATGATTTTATACTTTATTTTAAGTCTTTACGTCATTTAAAAAATAACAAAAAATTGGTCAAATTAAAGATTGAAAATTTTAAGTTGTAAGAAAACAAAACAATAAAAAAGACGAATTCAGGGAAATGGGAATGAATTTACTATCAATTCTTTTCTTCATGTCAAGCGAAGGAAGTGAAGAAATAATGGATGAAATTTGGAAACATTTGGAAACATTTAATTTGCCAAATGCTAGGATGAGGAGAGTGATACGGGATGATAAGCCACATCACTGCCCACCTTATATGTTCTTTATGGCCGGTATGATTATTTATGCTGTTTAAAGAAATAATTTTTAAAAAAAAAGAATTGAATCAGGAAAATGTGTGATGGCAGTGTCCAATTTCATATATTCGTAAGTTATTCGTTTCATTTTGCTAAAGATTAAAATTTTGTTTCTAAAATTTCTAGTTTTTCCAATTTATTTCTAATTTTTCTACAACTCACTCTAATACATTTCATACTTTCTCGATTATCAGCTTATCATCCTCTTCTCTTTCTCTCTCCCATCATACAAATGAATTCTATGTCTAATTTTAAATTTATATCACTTGCAGTATAGCAAATAAATATTAAATCTAGCTATAGTTAATGGAGAACCAGTCGAGAAAAGCATTTTATTTCAGGAACATCCGAAAAAATCAACCGTTTGGAAAAGATTGTTTGCGAGGAGCGAATAGTTGAACCTGACCTACGACATTTTATTTATATTCAAAATCGAACGATAGACATTTACAACAGTGAAAACATTTATGAATTTATGGGATTTGATTTTAAAATTGATGGTTGAATGCATTCCTTCTTTTTTCTTATCATTGATTTTACAGCTTGAAGTGATAGTAATATTTTGCAAATATATTCCTACAAATGAATATCATGCTCTAAATGAATTTTGATTGATGTTTTTTTTTTCCTTATTTTTATACTTGCTCAAGATTCAAAAATATGATAGGAGATATAAAAAAACAAATTTTATTCTTTTATATCTATGAAAATTGTCTATAACGAATCTTTCATTATTATTATATCATATGTCCACATTGTTTCATATGTCATAACTTTGATTTAGAAAAATATACAGTAGCATATGCTGAGAAAATGAAGAGAAAGAAATAGCGAATTTGATTCGGAAGTATAAAAGATTGAATGGATTGGATGTCATTTGCAGTGTATAGGATTACTAATCAAAGATGACGGTATTCTCTGAAAAGTACAATTTCATTTTTACTAGTGATACAAAATCCAAAAAACATGAATATTACGAATTCATGGTGATGAATATAACGAAACACTCATTAGCTGATCATCTCGGTTAGTGTTTTTTTTTGGGTATACATACTAAAAAATCAAAAAGTACAGAATGACGCAAAACCAAAAACACAAGTAGATAACAATAACAATGCGAAATCGGCCTAGCGCAACATCGATACTTGAAATATTAAAAAATCAACAGAAATCGGAATTCCAAAGAATAATGCATTATAACATGCAGACTTTTCACTTCAAGACGTGAACGATTATACTCAAATTAACAATATTACAATAACCTTATTTATTCTGTTTATGTAGAAAGTTTTATATTGCCCAATATCGTAAAGCATTATAATATATTTCTTTTAAATTCATATCTGATCACAAAGGTGCACTCCTAATTTATAAAAAAACAATTGAAACTAAAAAATTGAAATAGATAGGATGACGGAAGTGACTCCATAAATATACATTTCACTTCAATTAATTGTATAAGCAGATAGTAATGTACTGTATTACAACGGAAACACTTCCGTGGATGAGTCGGAGAAACCAATATTCACTCAAGGTAGTTCAGAAGAATGCATAATTTGCACACAGGATAAAATTACCTGAGAAAGATTTGAAACAACGACAGTGGTGACTTTCTCTTTTTGTTGTAGGATATTTCCATTTAGCTTAAAACTGCAAAACCCTAGCTTTTGTCATTTCTCTTTGTGATTGTTTATCCAGTCTTTGACTATGTAGCAAAAAAATCTCTTATGCGATACAATTTTTTACCATTTTATCACTGTTAATTTATATAAGACAAATTCATCAATGGTGAAAACATAATAAGAAGTAACTAATAGCGTCTAATCATGATCCAGGAAAATCTGTTTAGGAATTGAAAAGAAAGTCCTTAAGTCTGAATTTGAATACTTTTTGAACAGAAAAGAAAGATTTACCATCAACACTGACAAACGGATGCCCAAAATCTTTCTTATAATCTCAAACAACTCAGTGATCATTTCACATAATTCAACAAAAAACGTGCTAATTAGTTTTGTTCGGATACTTAAACTCCAACTGCCTAATTATTCTTACTCAGTTTATTGCAATTCTAATTACCAATACTACACATAAATTTCTCTTATGACCCGGAAAATGAGATCAATACCAATATGTTGGCTGCAATTTACGCTTATCTTGAATACCCATTGTGTCTGCAATTTCTTCCTCAAATGATTTGAGTACAGGTTTGTAGGTTTTTTCCAGCACAATTTCTGCAGGCGTATCCTTACCTTCCGCTTCTGCAATATAGGAAGAAAATTATAAAGTAGACGAAAAGTGGTGATAAATTAATTCAGCGACAATTTTTCATTCTAAGTGCTTAGAAATCATTTGATAAACTTAAGCAAAGCTTTCCGGAGATTTTTAGAATCTTCTAAAAACTTTGTATTGGCCGAAATTGTTTACAGCTCACCAGAAAAATCACGGAGGCCTCATTTCATCTTTTTGAATATTTTCAGTCATTCGAAAACTAAACTAACATACCAACATATCGATCGCAAGTGAGGTATTCCGAAGTAGCTCGAGCTAATTGTGGTATCGGAATTTGAAATTTGGATCTCCTGCTAATTCTAACATATTCGTTCCCTTCCTCATTCAACACCCAGTCCGCCTCACAAGGTTCACTGAAATGAAAAAATGAAGCAGACAGTCTACAATATCAACTTAGTGATTATCGGATGAACCGAAAAAGCAAAAGTGAATGAATGTAAGATTGTGTCTGACCCGCAGTAACGAACAAGAGGGATATTGCACTAAATAACCGCAAGAAATAAAATATCATGCAATTCAGCTTTGATTAAAAAAGACAATCAAACTGAACCATTTAAATTTTAATCAGTAACAAACATACTTATCACTGGGATCAACCAGCTTCACTTGTCCCTTATGAATATATAAAGGTTGCTCGACTTGTCGATAAATAGAATTTATGCCACTTTCACTGAAGTTTTCATAATCGTTGACAAGTTTCTGCAAAAACATTATATTCAAAGAACGAAATCATCGCATTATCGAAAATAATGTATAATGAGCTCGAAAGATGGAATTAATGATAATGAACAATTATTTCATTTAATATTCTATTGATTGATTAGTAGTTTGAATATTAATCAGAGCTTACAGTATGTCTCCCTCTTATAAATACAGCATTGGTTTCTTTGTTAACATGTGACACAACTCCCGTTTTGTCTTTGTCCTTACCGACCATGACCTGCACCAAATCACCAGGAAAGATTGTCCATTCTTCAGGTGGAATGGCTACTTTTTTCTCGTGCCTTAAAATATTGTCAGATATCATTGAGAAAACATAATTTTAAAGAAAAATGCCATCAAATCTAACCCACACTCTTTCCTCTTCAGTCAAATAACGAAGATTTGATCCAGTCTAATAATTATATAAGATAGCTTATGTGTAATGGGTTTCCCTAGCGATTATCCAAACGGTATAAATTATAAACATATAACAGCTAGCGGAAGATATAGACACTATTCAATCAATTGAAGATGTAGAAAATTCCAATACCTTCCATTCTTTTTTTTGTTCAAAAGAAAAATAAAAAGAAATTTACCTTAGTTCGAAGAATTTATGGCTTAATTTGTGCTGATGATACTCATGCGCTCGTTGTGCGTTTTTCTCAAATGTCTCTAATTCCCAAGGACGTCCATCAGATGGTACGTAATCATCGGGATGCAACCTGAAAACACCTTCGACAGAAAATCTTTTTAATTAACTTTGGAAAACCTTTGAAACTCAAAAAATCGTTACTTTCTGAAAATATTGCTTTGGAAAGTGTACAGTTCATTGCTATTTATGTTTGAATGATCTCAAAAAACAAGATCGCAAAATTAAGCCAATAAATTAAAGAAAATAAGGAATACGTGTGAGTTCACTACCATCTAACAGCATCAATTATGTCAACTAGCTATGTTGGTTGGAATGCAATTTTAAAATACGAAAAAAAAAATTGAGCACTTGTGTTTCACATACTTGAAATAACTATATTATGCTTGAGATTGGAAATAATAGTTTGAATATTTTAAATTTCATTTGACAGATTTACATACAAAAAAAGCTTACGCCCAACGAACTATATCAGGTGCACCGTATCGATTGGTATAAACTTTTTTAGGAACTGTACGCTTCACTTTTTCCACATATTCTTTTGGCATGTGCTTGGCATAATCTAATTCTATATAGGTTCGACGTACATTACGAAATAACGCACGAGTTTGCCACATCTAATACAGTTATCTGAAACAAAAAATTTGACATATAAAAGTTAATTAAATACAAAAATCATGATTTTTATCACGATTATAATTTGTTGGTTTAAAAGTAAAGAGATTCACGACAAGACAAAAGCAGTTAATGAGAATCCCAGCAATAAATGGAAAAAATATATAATCAAACCGTAAAACGATTTTCACACATGCCTTTGCCGGTAAATACCGGAGAGGGGAACCTGTTATGTTTTCCGATGTCACCACATTATTCCGTTAAATTTCCGGAGAGATGTTGCAGTATTTCAATTCTATAAGGTTATAGTATTTTTCTTTTCAATTGAATTGAATCATTATTTAAAACAATTAAAATTGTTTATGGAGGAAAAAACTTGAAATTAGCATACTTCACAGTTCAAGTGACTAAAAGGCGTTGACTTCTTTATTTATTGCTAAAACAGTCAGGAAAACAATGTAATGCTTCATTAGCCGTTGATATTGTCATCACTTTTAATTTAGATTTAAAATTTCAGAATCTAAAATTAATTCTACGAAATTTCATATTGTTTTGTTGAGGAAAATTCAGTCCGATGAAAATTGTAATCTTACAACAGAAATTCATTTTCTGCTGAAAATTTGCTTTGTAACAGTTAGCGGACTATCAAGTAGTACAACCATTTTGAGCAAATTAAAAAAAAAAATCTCATCTGAACGTTTCACAGATTTCAAACTGAGATTTTCTTTCGAAACGAAAGTCTGCATGGAACGGTTGTAGACGGGTGGGAAAAGTGTTTTCGTTGGTTGGTACAAGGAGTTGTTAGGTTGTGGTGTGAGCTGTGCAGGACTCTCCCTATCCGGTCCAGTCTTCCTGTGCGGTGGTACGGTTCCCCTGTCCGGCCATTCCATTTCGATTGATATCGCAGCAGAAAAAAGTGGGACGGTATTTTGTGCGGTGAGTTGGTATTTCGGTACGAATTATTCCCTGCTTCTCCGGATTTGTAGCATCGCCATGTTAGCCGGTCTTTTTTCACTTAGAAGATCTCATACGAGGAGATATCTTCAGATAATCTCGCAAATGTTATGTTTCCTTACGTCATCACATGGTGACGTCATCTCGGCTAGATGTCCACGTAGCAGAGTGTAGAAGGAGGAAAAGGGTGGAGGGAAGAGAAGAAAAGGGCTGAGAGTTGATTATTGAACCGGCAGGCGACGTTACTCAAACTCCAACTTTCTTTCCTTCTTCATACATTTCTTCACTATATGCATTCCGGAATGTTCTTTTGTTCTTTTTCCGTCTTTCGGAAAGATTTCATTGTCAAAACTCTTTCTCTCTCTCATCTCCGTAATTTTTTCATTTCTTGTTTATTTTTTCTGGGTGTTTTCATTATTTCCTCTAAATTTCTTACATTTTTTTTAGAAAATTTTCTCTTATATTTCTCTCTAATTTTTTTGCAGCTTTGATGAAAATTTTCTCTTATATTTCAAAGTTTTCCACTCCTCCGGAACTCATTCCTCTGGAACAAAATTTTTTTAAAACTTTCTCATTGTGTAAATAGGGGAAAAGTGGTATTTTCAGCAAATGGCAGATATTCTGCAAATTTTCATATTTTATTACTGGGACAAACATTAGCTTTTTATTTATCAGATCTTAATACTTCGTTTTATTAAGGTGGCTGATGGAAATTGCTTAAATTTCTGCTGGCTTATAAGTTCCCAGGACAACTGATTCTGAAATTTGGACAACTTTTTTGATAATTTGACATATCATAAGTTAGGAATGCATGGTATTTCCTCAGCATTCCGCGGTATCTCCCAGAATAATCAATCCAGGATTGAAATGTTGCATGTGCATTTTTGCATGCGTGTACATAGAAGTGAAACTTGCACTTTCACTCACATTTCTGGAAGCAATATAATACAAAATGATCCTCAGTGCATTTTGATCATTATTCCAAGCGATTGATATCTTCCTCTTCTGATGCTATTCCTTTCAGTACTTCGTTTATTTTTCCATTCAATTGCAGCACATTATATATTACTAAAAAACATTTGAAACGTAAACAACTCATGATGACATGATCGCATGTTGGACAACTGGTAGTATGTCTATAGACTGAGAATGTTAATTCCAACTTCTTGCCAAATCATTTTTTTTGATCTAAGTTAATTTAAGCGGTACTTCGAATTATCCCAACTTCAATTCCACATCAAATTAAGATTTTCTGGAACCTGCTGAAAATTTTATGACAGCGGTAAGTTCCGAAGTTTTGTTACGCTCTTCTTTAATCAACCATCTATCAGTGTCGTGATGAGTTGATGAGCTGATTGAATACCATTAAACTGGCTTCTCCTAATGGAAGGCGATCTATGCAGAACTTATCTGAACACTTTTTAACTTTTGCATTGCCAATTTTCCTAAATTTCTTTGTGACTGTTGATTTAATTCTAGAATGGAAGTTATTCTTTTTTTCAGATCTGAAATCCTAAAAGTAGGACTTAAGAACACACGTGTTAAAATGTAATATTGCATTAATGTTATAAATTACTTTCCTGCTTACTAATTATTTCATTCGAATTGTATCTCTTTATAAAGTGTAATTTCTGATAAATGTGTAAGATACTTGCGTAATGCTATCTTGATATGCTTTTATCCATTTTATTGAAATTCATGATTTTTTATATACTGAATTCTTTGCTATGTGTGATCTATTTTAAGACATTTTCTACTTACAATAAATTCTCTATTCATTGTTACGATTAAATATGTCATTTTTACAATCTACCAGATGTTTTGGAAGGGGTTTTGATGTCTGTTTTATTCTAAAAATAGGACTTAAGAAATAGCAAAGTAATCTTTCTCATTCCAAGTTATTGCTGATATTGACGACTTTTCACTTATCGTAAATCTTTTGTACAAAAAAATCTTAAAATTAGTTACTAACATTCACTAACATTCTATATTTTAGGGCTGGAAGTGACCGAACACACTGCTTTAGTGTAACATGGCACTTAAGCGAATCCAGAAAGAGCTTCAGGATTTGGGTCGTGATCCACCTGCACAATGCAGCGCAGGTCCTGTCGGCGATGATTTGTTTCATTGGCAGGCGACAATAATGGGTCCACCAGAATCACCCTATCAAGGTATATCACTTTTAAACTTATATGATATATAGGGTGCAATTTGTCAAACTTTTTGTTTCAGATCTTTGGATTTTTCAAGTTTACTTAAGTACTTCAAGTCGTAATTGCATTGCTTAATAAGATTCATCTTTTTATTTATGACAAACTATTCAGCAAAGTTCAAAAGATAAATCGAAGGATGCGATTCTTTCATTGTTCTATTTCTGATCTGATCTACTGTTAAAATTATCACAGCCTATCCTTTCTAGTCAGTTGGAAGCTTGAAAATACATGGTAAAATTTTCTTTTGTTTACACTTTTTGGAAAGATTTAGGTGGCGTCTTTTTCTTAACAATTCATTTTCCTACGGATTATCCATTCAAACCACCGAAGGTAGCATTCACAACTCGTATGTATCACCCAAATATCAACAGCAACGGTAGTATTTGCTTGGATATATTGCGTTCGCAGTGGTCACCAGCGCTTACCATTTCTAAAGTACTTCTCTCGATTTGTTCTCTTCTTTGCGATCCAAATCCAGATGATCCGTTGGTACCAGAAATTGCTCGTGTTTACAAAACAGATCGTGATAGGTAATGTTTGTTTTCAAGAGAACATTACATAAAAAACTGAGCGCTCGAGGCCTCTTTCATTCATTAATTGTTTCAATTGTAATTTCGTGAGCATCCATTTTTAAAGGTTTTTTGTCAGGTTGCCGTGAGTAGTGCCATGATGACTCAAAGTGAGAGTTAATATACGTTTCAAAAGAAACATTAACTGTATTCTTTTGCTAATTAAATTCAGTGAGAGAAGTCTTTCTGTAACGTTGAATACCTTCATGCAGCCATTGAATTACGGCTTTAATTCTGGAATAATCGTATATCTATTCAACCAACCAAGTTGACAGATTTCCTGTGCTTAAAGTATGAGTGTTCTTGTAGTTTTGAGGCTGACACCTGAGTTTTATTAGAAACATGTAAAATTCAGTAACCCTTTTTCTTTACTGACTACAGTTAGGCATTTTCATATTTCTTAAGTATTTCGTAATTTTGAAACACTTTAAATAAATGAGTTATTGCAGGTATAATCAATTAGCTCGTGAATGGACTCAGAAATATGCAATGTGAAAGACCAAAGAGTAACGGGTTGCGCGCGTATAGGATACATGTGTACACCATCGTTTGAAATTACTAAACGTGTACATTTTAAATTAGTTTTTTGTTCAAATCGAAGAAAAAGTTCTCCATCATTACAACTCTCTAACAAATAGGCAACCTCTTGGCGTCTTCACCTAAGTTTTATTGTTACAAGTTGATGATATATTTTACCTTTCTCAGTTATTTTTCTCATATTTTGGTGCCTAAAGGAAATAATTTCGTTAGTTAATATTTTTCAGTTTAAGCTTTTCCCATAAATTTGTTCCAGTTCAGTTTTGCTTTTGTGAAGAAGTCGTTTATTGTTTTAAAATTTCTAGAAAAAGGAATCCTTATTTCTCTATTTTTTTTTTATTAATAAACAGAAGAATTTAAAGGTTTTCTCATAAAATGCAGTTGAAATTTTAACATTGTAATTAATCCTCTAAATCAATTATTTACTAATTTTGTTTCCAACTGATATGAAATGCTAATGGAACAACTGAAACTTATTTATCCTGCAAATCATTATCAGAGTTTTTTTTAATGAAAAAAGTCTTCCTATGGCGTGCTCAGCTTACTTTTCCATTCCATCCGATATGAAGATGTGGACAAAAAAAACTGGTACATCCCAAGTTTTTGCTCGATCTCGTTCTCCGGATAGTCTTTTTTCTTGAAATTGGAAAGATACTGAATTGATTTGTGTGTGAAAAAATTTTTAAATCTAACAAATCAAAGTTGCAGTATGCCATATGATAGATATAATCAGTCGATGGGGTCTTGGGTTGGATCAACGAATATAAAACTAGTACGGTGATGTTAGCTTCACTGAATATAAGACATGTTAAAAGACTACCTGACTTCTGTTTGTCTCGAGTACAGTTTTTTGTTATTCCTAGCAGAGTATATGCGCAGTTGGTTAAAAAAATAAATCAAAGGGACTTATTCTTTCAAGGATCCGTAAAAGAATGGGCCTGTATCTTTGGCTATTTATTTATTGGATCGCACAAATAGCTGGTAATATAAACTGTGTTAGCAAAATGCTTGCTTGCCCGCTTTACAATAATATTGCATTGTAGAGCAGTTGGAGTTGCGCTTTGTTCGTTTGAGAAGCGTGGTCCTGCAAATCTTTAAGTATCAGCTGATTCAAGTTTCATCAAATGGAGATTAGCAAATTACGACTGTGAGGGAATCGTTCCTGATAAGTATTGATTCAACATAATATTCTATATTTAATGCAGTCAATGATTCCTGACCTAGCACATCAAATGTTTCGCAAAGGAAGCAATGCTCATCATAAATTGTTTCAACTTCGAGATGCTTAAGTGCTTGAATTGCTGATAACGTTAATCTCAGACGAATGAAACACTCAAGAAAAAATGTCATTTTCGCTGAAAGAGGATAATTCGCGATGGGATTCAAATTATGATTGCTTATTTGGGTTAAATTACTCCAACAAATAATAGATATTCTTTATGAGCATTTATTTCCTATTTAACGAATCCATCTTATGAGCAAAATGATACGCGATATCTTATATGCAAAACTATCAATTCGGAAATTACAACAACGAAGATACAACTGGAAAGTTTTGGAATGCTTTCCAAGAGAAGAGTGAAGTAAGAGACTTAACTTCAATTTCAATTAGTTTAACATTGTAGTCCTTCTGCTAGATACCTTCATGTTACTACTATGAATGAAAAAAGACAAAAAATGAAGCTCAAATCAGCGTTGATGGTTCAAGCCATCGAAATACAAAATCAGACTTCAAAATCAGATCTCAAATCATCTCATTTGTCGAGATATACTAGATCGATACCGCTGACGGTAATCTCTGAAGATGAAAAGATTTGTCATCGGCTCTTACAATCTCTTCTTAACTTTAGAATTTTTCTAGAATACAAAAAACATAGCAATGGAGTAAGAGTATTGCTATTTTCTTTCTTTTCATCATTTCTCTAAGCCGAAACTGGCATACTCATCATATTCTATGAATGCTTTTTTCTAGAATATTATATTCCGAATCAATCATTTAAAAATGTACAAGAAAAAAATGAACGAATGCATTATGCAATATTGACTTTAAAGTAGTAAGAAGAAACTTTAAAATAATCTTGTTACTTTGAAGTCATTACTACATAGTTTGCATGTTCATTGCAAACAACGAGTAAATGAGATTGGTATGTATTCACAACGATATGCAAATGAAGTATTTCAAAACTTTGGAATGTTTAGAAATTTCGAAAACAACTACAATTATTATCATTCCAATAACCGATCGAGTTATTATAAATGATTGACCTGTGAGTTTATAATAAGTGAATTATCGTTTGATTCATCGAATCATTTTGTAGGATGAAAGAACAGTATACGAACTGTCAAAAAATATAAGTTAATGTAATTTAGCATTCTATGGCAGAAAATCAGCTGTTCCACGCTTTCTAGGTGAATGAGAATCAGAAGTACTAAAGAACTAATAAGTACTAAAAATCAAAAATAAGAATGAAAACCTAGATCGCAGAACAACTTTAGTAATTCAGAAATACCGATGAGAAATACCAACAAGAAACAGAAACATGAGAAGGCATTGAACAGTGACCAAAACTGCACTTCGTATAGAAAACAATTGTTATAAGACATACAGTGCACATGCATTAAACTATTGAAATTTCATTTGCAAAAATGAAGAGCAAGAAATATGTAATAGACCATTACTGGAATTCCTAATTTTCTCTCAGGCTTCGAGCTTAGAGAACATTTTGTAAATTTAGAGAAAATCTTTCATCGCAAAAATTTAACTGCATTATTGGTTAAAAATATAGATTAAACCATTATTACTTCTTCAAATCATAACATCGAACCAAGTTTTCATATCCTAATTCCTGTCCCATTTCTCTAAAATCTATAACATTATCAATTATATCCTACAATAATGCTACCAATCCCATCTAACTATAATGGTCATCAACAAAATGAGCAACAAGAAATAAGCTTACACTTACAGTGTCTATAAAAACGACATAATTAAGTTGAAATTTAAAAGCAAAATAAATTTAATAAAATTAATTGGACAAAAATAAATTCAGTTGAAAGATTTGAACTATTTTCATTATTGCTATCAGCCCAAACCGACATCTAATGCCATCATAATTAAGAAACCAATAACTGAACTTATAGATGCCAACCGACCATTACCATTTCGTTGTGCTTCCGGTATAATGTCATCCAAAACAACATAAATCATTGCACCTGCAGCGAAACTTAATGCATACGGCAAAACAGGTTCCATTAAGATCACGGCAGCTGAACCAATTAATGCTCCCAATGGCTCTACCATACCTAAAAAAGGACTTTAGAATCCTTTAACTAAAGAAAATCGTCCTGAAGAAGAATACTGGTATTTATGAATGGAGTAGATTATTTTATATAATCAGCAGTCCTTTGAAGAAAAGTTTCCTCACAGAAAATTATGAAAATTCCGAAAGAAATAAAAATTTCAAAAGATAAAGGAATAAATATTTGGCTTTATCCAGAAAACGTCAAAGATTAAAAATAAATTTGAAAAATTTATCAGCTAGAACTAACGTAGTCATAATCTAACTAATGCTACTCAAATATTCTCTTAAAATTGCCCCACCCATCACATCCATCTTCGTTAAGTCATTATGAACATTAATTGCCTGATCAGAAAAAAATGATAGGAGTATTTCTAACAACAAAATTCCTAAACCTTAATTTCGTTTGTATCTAGCAAAAAAAAAGAAGAAAATCACTAACCAGATAATTGCCCATAAAAGAAAGAAGTCATTTTACTACGACCGAAAGCGGCAAGCGGAAGTGAAACCGCTAATCCTTCCGGAAAATTTTGTAAACCGATACCAAGTGCCAAAGCAAAAGCCGACTCGAACGTCGCTTTTGCAGTTTTCCCAATGGAACCTTCAAATACGTTTAAAAATTAATTTCAAAAGAAGATAATTTCTGACTGGAAAAAACCATTGCTTCGATCATTCGCCCGTGCTCCATATAAACTTAAGTTTTGTAAACGAGTAACCCAAAACATACCAAATGCAACACCAACAGCTAGACCTTCCGGAATGTTATGTACTGTGACGGCAATAATTAACAAAAGGATGCGTCGCCATGAGATAGATGTAATGAGAGCCTGTTCTTTATCAACTGCTCGATTACCGTTTTCCTCCACTACTACTGCTGTTGTTGCCGCATCTGAGGTACTTCCATCCGTATTATTCGTACTCGCTATGGAATCATCTGTTCGTTGGATCCTGAATGAAACAGTGTGTTACTGTGCTCTAAATATTATTGCAATTTTTTCAAGCAAGCCAGATTACATGCAATGCTTTATATTAGTAGAAAAGCTGTAAGAACATAAGCATTTGTTGACCAAATAAAACCTTTAAACTTCTACAATACAGCCAATATAATATCCTAGCAGACCAGCAATGTTATTCTAATTCGAGCGTTAACGTCTCAAAGCCACCAAAATATAATTTAGCGTCAAAAATTATATCAATTTTAGACTTTTCGTGTGCTACAAGTGTTAAAAACAATAAGACAGATTTTCCACATCAAATTTATTCAACAATAGGTGTTATTGGCCCATCTGAATCTCCCAGTATATGTATAAACAAATTATATATATAAGCGCCATGTTATCTATACTTCTTGTATTACCAGGTTGACCATGACAAATACAATCTTAGCTTATAGCATTTTTTAATATTAACTAAAAAGTATTTTATCTATTACTGACATTTTTATACGTTTGTTTAACATGAATAAATTTCCTGCGAATTTCGTCAGATTTTGAAGCTTCAAAAGATGATTTAAAAAAAAAATAAAAACGGTTTTTTTTTTCTTTCAGTAGTAGACAAATACAGAGCAATGCACGATAACTAAAGATCTGGAAAACAAGAAGAAAATATTCGAAAATGATTTTTTGCATGGAAAATAAAATCTGTCGTGCAGTCCAGTTC